TGTACAAACAGCATAAGCCCATCATCGTCAATTCTAGGGTGACGTCCCAGTACTGAAATCATCCAAGATGCTCGCGATGCAATCATCTCCACCGACCATATTGGAACTATGCCACTCGTGGGCGGCGTGGCCACGGTTACGTCGTGATAAATAGTAAATGCTCGTCATACGATCATACCCTCGATCACGAAGATGTGATTAACTCCTCGTCCGTCCTCGAACGACGCAATTCACGATCGATAGTAATCATCGGTTAATTCAAACGTGATCGAGGTGAGGCAATTACTATTATGAATATTAGTACACAGGATAGGTCATTCATATCCTGCATATTTCTTTTTATTGAAGTCTACTAGAATCACCTGGATAAATAATGGTCTCTATCTTTTCTTCTTTTAAAACACAAACTTTACAAATACTTTCTAAAATATTAAAATAATACAGAAATAAAAATATAAAAATACTAAAATATTAAAATATGTACTTAATAATTTTTAGGATGCCTATTTGCAATGATATTAAATTCCTTGTCAATTAATTTGTGACATTACTACCAGCTTCAGTTTAGGACTGTTTCAAGATCGACAAATAATCGGCGCGTAATTTGTTTGAACTACATCGCGAAGGGACACGCGACGTCTTAGATTTTTCTTGCGATGTAAAGAGAAACGAATCACGCAGTAAAATGAATTCGTAAGTTCGGTGTGAATGCGTTGTATTTATAATTTGATGTGATAGCGTGGATGATTGATCGACGTTTCGTCGCGATACGGCGCGCATTGACCAGCTGATAATGCACGCGATAGTTCTCTTCATTCCGCGAATTATCGTGTTTTCTTTTTATCTTGACGTGAAGAATTACCTGGTGCATCGTGAATGATAAGAAGAAAGAAACGCGCGCGGCGTCTTATCCGATAACACCAACGACGTAGGACTTTGTGGAGCAATTTCGCGCCATTCGGCAAACAGACGAGCTCTTGTCTACAGACGCGCGGCTGTCAACGACATGATCGATCACGATCAGGTTTGTGACCGTGAATTTCGTCGCCCGGGGCGGAATTATTTTGCGACGTTATCTGTTTCAATCGAATCAATTCGCACGATCACGACGGGGCAACAGAGACGTAGAAGTAATCTAATAATAATACAATAGACTGTCAAAAAAATTCTAACTCACCCTTCAAAAAACTAATTACATTAATTATCATGATCTCCCTGAATAAATTTGTAAAAATCATTTTATAAAACGTAATTTAGAACTTTTTCGACAACTCAATAATTAGTATAATGATAGAAGACAAAGATAATAATAACAATGCTTTCACAAAATTCCCCCGGCACGCAGTATATAATCTACAAGCAAATATATAATCTATATATATGTTTTTGTAGTAGACCGTCCAGATAGAAAAACAGAGAAAAAAAATGTTATCAGAGAGTAGTAATGAGTACAACGAGATTTCATCGTCGCGACGTTGACTTCTCGATCGGCATCAATTTTTCCTGAAGGAGCATCGATCTTCGTACACCGGTTAGGTTAAATCGCCCGATACGATGTTTATGTTTTGTGCGGAAAGTTCCTCCGTGTTTCGTGCCGACATTCTGGCGGCCGCGCGCGAGGAACGGGGCGCGCATGTTGCGCGGTAATATAGAGGAACGTATACACGCGATAAGGCTCAAAAACGCCCTCGTAAATCGCGTCCGCGGGCACTGATAACGGGGCGCATTCGCGTGACCTTCTCGCTCGCTCGTTCGCGCTTTAAAGGCCCGATCTAAGGCCGCCTTTAAAAGCGGTGACTGATAACGAGCGCGCTCGTCCAACTCGCTACCGCCGCTGTCGCCGCCGCTGCCGCAAATTGCGCCATTCACGTCTCAATAGCCGACCTTCACCCCGTACATTTAGCATCTATATACGATGTATATGCGTCGACCGTGTGGCGCGTATCGGTCGCTTGATGCAAGACGGCAGGCTATCACACGAACCGGGTGACTCACTTCGCTCCAGCATGTCGCGACGGATACGACAAGCTAATTCAAGAGCGGCTGTTGTTATGTCCACAGTATGCTCGAATCGATGAAAACGCAGTCCAAAATCTCTGGTCTTTCGATAGACGGAAATAATTTTGTTAAAATTTTTAAAAGATAGATCTGAAATTTATTTTATTGATCCAAAATAATTACGTTGGAAACTCGAGCGTGATGAGCAACGTCAAAACAGCAACTGTCAAAACTTTAGTTAAACATTAACATTTAACTTTTGTTGAACTGTCAAAATAATTACATAGGACGTTCAAGCTGATTGCTAGAGTGTCAAAACTTTTTGCAACAATTTAGTTCATATTTATAGATTTCTATACATAATTACTTCGATCTAACAAAGATCTGTATTTAGCTAAATTTTAGATATTATACTTCAATGAAATTTTTTTTTCCATATAATTATTTTCTGAAAACAATAAAATTGTTTTCAGATCTGTAGCTAGCTAATTTTTTAAATTCTTTCCGTATCTCGCGTATCTCGATTCAATAAACAAGTCAACTTAATAAACAAGTAACTTCAATAAACAAGTCAAGCCTTACTCGACTATAAACCACGCTAATTATTTTTTCTGAAAGACAAAGGCATTTAATTTGCATCTTTACGATTCGTTCGCGCAACAGAAACTACATAGAATTAATTGTTTGCGCAAATATTGTTGAGTTTCACGGCCACCATGGAGAAAAATAATGTGTCATTGATGAGTACAGTGTTGAGTTGTGTGATTAGAGTAAAACCAAACCTTGAAACTGCGGTGCTAATCAACAGTCTAGCATCAACACGCTAATTATTATTCGTCCAGGATAATTCACTTCGTTTAAATATTTTTAAGTTACGATTTAACGATACTTGGAAATAGTAAAGCGTTAATTAGCATAGCCACAACAGCCCGCGAAAACCACATTCCAGTTCGGTTCGCTTCAATGCACTTAATGACCCTGTTATGAAGTTCGTTATGTGGAATCGTATAATCGAAATAACATTACCCCGCTTTCTTCGTCATAGAGATACGATTTTCCTTCCGAGCGAGGTAACAATCACGCGAGGTCAATTGCTCTCGCAATCTACAAACCGCTAATGAAACGGAATTTTTAT